GCCCCTCCACCCCTGGCAGCCGCCCACTTGTAGGGGATGTCCCAACTCCTGTCTGGTCGAATGCACTGCCTTTTCTTTATCATTTATCGGCTCTATACTTGGCGTCCTACTTGGAAAGGTCTTCCCCATGTGGACGCTGGACAACTATTAATTTAGGGTTTTATATGGAATGCTTTCAGACCTCTGGAACTTACTTTGATAGGTTATTTAAAGTACAGAGCTTTAGCCTGATAAATAAAAGTTTTAAAAAGATGACCCAATATCAGGTCACTTTGCTGAGCGGTACTTGAATGTGCCTTTTAAAAAACACACTAACTTCAAAATAAAAAGGTTTTTTTAAGAACAGAGAAAAATGTAAGATCTGAAATTTAAGTAATTTAAATTTTTAAAGAATTCTAAGGTTTTAAGAACAACAAATGCTTCATACCTTTACAAAATAATGAATTTATCTGGTCAGATCTCAAGGTACTAAATCACGTAATAACATTTAACAAACATCCAGTCAGAAGGTTGCCGACCCAGCAGAGACGCGAGGCCAGAGGTGAGCACAGAGTAGAATAAAAAAGACAACAGGAGAGAAAAGGTCGCACCGTGGTGTCAGGGCAAACCCATCACCGAGAAGTCGCACAATTTCAGGTAACAACCACCACTCAAACTCATTAAGAGGCAAAGAAAAATAAATAAAACAACAGGAAAAAAAAGAAGAAAAAGAACCCAATCGTATTCATATGGTTCTGAAATATCCTATTCTCAGACCGACTCACACACCCGCCCACCAGCCCTGACTGGTCGCCGGCGAGCCTGCCCCTGCCGCCCTGGGCAAAGGTCCCCGTCACCGAGAACAAACTAGGAACTTAACGAGGAAACAGCGAGGCCGTTTGTCCGTCCACAGCCCCGGAGCCTCGGAAGCTGCGATTCCAGCTGCTCCGAGCTCCGACGGCCCCCTCAGCTCTCCTGCCACCCGTCTACCTGGGTGAGTCTCTTGCCAGAACTCTGAGGCCCCCAGGAAGGAACAGTGGAGGGACAGCTATTTGCATATGGACATGGCAGAGCAGACAACTGGATGGCGAAACTTTTTTTTTAAAGATTCTGTCGCTTTGAACTTACGAGAGTTTCCACGTATCTTAACATATCAAACGAGTTCAGATCGGAACGCAGCTGCTTGGCCTTCTCTTTGCCCAGATCTGAGGCCAAAACAAGAAAGTGGGCGTCCAGGACGGCTTCCCTGGCTCGGGACACTGTTCAGGAGAGAGACGCGCGTTACACCGTCTGCCGCGGCCCCTGCGTTTCCAGCCATCACGCGGCCCTTCCCGGCCGACCACCCATCTCGCTGGAAACACTGGCTCCCCGCCCAGCTCGCCACACTCTGCAAGCAGAGCCGACCAGTCTCCCTAGAGCCAGCCGCCTCCACTTCTACTCCTGGGAACCAAACCACCACCTTTCGTCACCGCGACTAACAAAGCCTCCGTCTTCACAGAGGGCTTTTCCCTCGACTCCAACAGCCCAGCCCCGTCACTGTCAGACTGCACGCCCACTGTGCACTGACTGGGCCCGCTGTGCGCTGACTGGCAGTCGGTAGTGGTCAAGGAGCCTGGGCTGAAACAGTGTGAGGGCTGGGCAGCCCAGGCCCCACCCTGCAGGCGGCGAGGCAGTGCCCTCTGAGGACGGACGATCCAAAAAGATGGGACCGAGGACATGGGATTAAAGATAAGCTACTGCATGCCCGGCCGGGCGACTCAGTGATTGAGAATCCACCCAGGAACCAGGAGGTCAGGGTTCAATTCCCCGTCGGGACACATGCCTGGGTTGCGGCTGGATCCCCAGTGGGGGGTGTGCAAGAGGCAGCCGATCCATGATTCTCTCTCATCATTGATGTTTCTCTCTCTCTCTCCCTTCCTCTCTGACATCAATAAAAAATACATCTTTTTAAAAAATAGAAGCTACAGTGTGAGATTTAAATAAAAGGAGATGAGAGGGGAGTGGGAGGGAGGCTGAGGATGAAGTTGGGGCGAGGAGGGGAGCGGCCTCCGAGGGCAGCGGGGCTGAGGGCTGGGTTCCCGGCCCACAGGGACAAGGACGGGTGGAAAGATGCTCCGAACAGGAAGGGCCGAGCGGAAGGAAGTCCGGGGAGATGCCCGCGGCCGAGTTCAAACAGAACTGCCCCTCGCCTGCCGCCCAGGCCCTGCCATTGGCATCACCCCTTCCTGGACGCTCCTGGGCTGGGGGCCTGGCGACCCCCGCTTCTGTGTTTACGGGTCATTTCCCCCGTATTTCGGGGGAGCCTGCGAATGGGGCCACGAGTGAGAGACGCTGGAGACTGGTTCCGGGACCGTGTGATGTCAGCACAGCGGCTCTGATGTAGAACGAAGGAGGACGGTCCCCGAGCATCTGCCACAAGGGCGGCCACAGGGAAAGCAAAGGGCAGGAAAGACGCATCGGAAACAAATACAGGAACCACCTCCATTGAACAGGGTGTTGGCCTCCTCCAGGACCTCGGTCAGCCGGTCGCTGGCGTTCAGGATGTCCTCCCGGTTCTCTGTTCCAAAAACACACACACTGGGAGGGGGGCTGGCCCTCCCCACGCC